GAATGAGTCTGTAGGACCCAGAATGAGTCTGTGGGACCCAGAATGAGCTGTTTTTTATTAATTAATTAACTTATTTGTTTGTCTATTTATTTTTTATTTGTCTTATCTACTTGTTTATCTGTTTATTTTCTTAGTTTTTGTTGATTCATTCATTTCTTAGTTATCATCTGTTCATCCATTTAATTTATCTATCTATCAATTCATTTTTGTTTATTATTTTTATTATATATTTATTCATTCATTCTTAGTCATTATCTATTAAGCCATTTTGTTGTCTTTCTTTCTTTCTTTCTTTCTTTCTTTCTTTCTTTCTTTCTTTCTAACAATCATAAAAAACACTGGATAAAGATAAATTTACTGTCATTGTAAATATTGGGATAACTAAGGAAAAGAGGAACAAAGACGAGGCAGCTGACATCCAGCCCCCCGTCTGAGCTGAATCCTGATCAAACTCACGGTCTAAACCGGCTTCTTTTCCATCTGTAGTGGATCCGGCTGCCCCCTCATGTCAGGAGGGAGCCTACCTGCCAAAGTTTCTGCCTCCGACCCCGGAAAATGGAGCCCACATCCACGCAGAGGTCAACAAAGAGCTGGAGATCCAAGTCAGAGCCCAGGCCACGCAGTCGGTGTAAGTCCAGGGATCTGAGATCTGGGGTCTGGTGTCTGGAATTGGGGATCTGGGGTCTGGGGTCTGGGATCTGGAATCGAGGATCTGGGGTCTGGGATCGGGGATCTAGGATCTGGAATCAGAAACTGGGACCTGGGGTATGGGATCGGGATCTGGGAACGGAGAACGGGAAACGGGGATCGGGGTTCTGGGATCTGGAGTTCTGGGATCTGGAGTTCTGGGATCTGGAGTTCTGGGATCAGGGTTCCGGGATCAAAGCTATGAAACTTGATCAAAAATGAAAAAAAACTCTCCCTTGACGGAGGCTAAAACTATTAAACATTAACTATAAACCAAAATCACTCCACTAATGGGAGGAAATGCAAACTATGAAATGTTTAGGAAAAATAGGAATCACTTCCTGAAACAGGAACAGAAAATCCCTCCA